CTTTTTTTAAAGGAAATTTTTATTTATTCAGTTTTTAAAACTACACTTGAAGTGCTTCCTTTTTGTTAATGCATAAATGATGAAGCTAGTATAAAATCATCATTTGTTTTATATCAAAGATTAATTTTATAATCTACTGTAGAAGCAGAAATTTCGTGGGGATAACATTTCGTTGATTTGTCATCAAAAATAGTTTCTAGGGCATTTAATTTCGTTGTTTTGAGAGTAATTCCATTCAATATATAGTCATAAAAAATTTCGTGTGGGATTTAATTTCGTTGATAATTGTTAACAACGAAATAAACGAAATTTAATCCCCCACGAATATTTGTGCTTTTACAGTAATTGATATTTATGATTTTAGCAAGCATACAGTCTTTGGACATGTGATCTTTGGTCAAGAGGTGGTCACCAAGATAGAGAACTTAGAGACGGATGAAAAAAGTCGTCCAAAAGTGGATGTGAAAATTGCCAACTGTGGAGAATTAGTTCTTCAAGTAAAAGCCAAAGGTACATATTAGAGTTTGATTTAGCGCTTGATTGCTGAAATTTTCAAAAGGTATCTATGTACAGAATAACACAATTATTCATAAATATTAAGCTGTGAAGAACTATTCATGAATAAATTAGTTTTGTGAAGAAAAAGACAGTTATACTGCCCTTCTTGTATCTGCATTTTTCTATTTTCATCACTAATAACAAAAATGATACTTTACATTTCTCTGCCAAAATGCATTGCATAATTATGCTGGTAAGCTTTCTATGGTTAATATTTGCACAAATTTCTAAAAGAACAGTATATTAATAAATGTGCTTTATTATTTATTGATAATGTGCTTAACCAGAATTTTAAAATTAGTTAAATTACATATAACCAACTGAAAATAGCAATAAAATATGTGTGTCATTTTGAGGTCAGCAGTAAAATTTCTTATCATGATCTTTTACAGGAAAAAAAATTAAAAAGAATGTTTTCCTATTTTATTTAAAAAAAATATCATAATTAATGAATTTACATTGTACAAATATGCAAAGTCAGTACATTGGGTCATTATTTATCCCATAAATATAACTCTATATTTCCTCATTTCATTATCAGATTAAACTTGGGTATTGAGGGCGTATGATTATGGCTTCATAGTATTCCCTTTTACAATTACCTTTTTTCTCGATGACTAGCTAAAAAGAGAAAGAAACACTCGGAGTCTGAAGCCAAGAGTTCTGGTGATTCAGATGAGTCATCTTCAGAAATGGAGAAAACGAAAAAGAAAAAGAAGAAACATAAAAAAGAATCCAAAAAGAAGAAGCACAAGAAAAGAAAAAAAGAAGAGGAAAGGTACACAAAGACATTTTATCCTTTTCAAGTTATTTAATGTACAACTACAGTGAATCTAACTCAGACCTTATGTCTCGAATTTTTTTTCATCTCATAATTATGCAGCATCAAGCAAATAAAGAAAATCCATGTTCTTGATTAGATCTTCAAGAATTAAATCTTTTTCATTCGTAAAAGTAATGTTCAAAATGACTTTAAAACTGCTTTATATTTATAAATTCAGTGCTGAACATATGAATATTTTTTTTCTGCAAATGAAAATGTAAGTGTATCCTTATAAAGTGGGTTTGAGGCTTTCATATTAGTACAATTCTCTATTAAATATTGATGTTCACCTGATATTCCTAGTAAGTTCAACTGTGTATTCATTGTGAATTTTCTCATAGATAAACAGATTAAAATTGTAATGCTGTTTCTGGTATTTAGTGCAAAGAACGAGCAGAAGGAAGAAGAAATCACCACAGTGTTCGCTCAGATTCGTCCGGATGAAATTCCCGACGTCCCTCAGCAGAAGTTCTTAAGCAGGGTCAACAGAGAGGAGGAAATGGAAAAGTATTCAAACATCTATCTATCACTGCTACTAAAATTGGAGTACTTCTAAACATTCAAATTATGAACTGTAATAGATGAATTCAATTTAATTGTATATAAAAAAAAAAAAAAAATCATAGACCACTTGAAGAAGTGAAAAATCAGATTTTTACAAAATTTAGAGAAAACAATTTTAATTATTTTAAAATGCTTTTTGCTGAATTTTTGTGTTATTTTTTGTTTTGGTTTTTGTGATGGTACTTTATATGATTCATGTTTATTGACTACAGAGAGAAGTCTCCACCAGGCTATGGCAACCGGCGGAGAATTGATAGGATTCCCTATGGAAACAAGCCCAAATTTACAGCCAGTGGGAGAAAAATTAAAGGCCGTGGCACATTGGTTAGTCTCTGAATTAAAAAGTTTTTATCTTCCCCATCAGCCTCAGGAGGACTGTAAAATACTTTTTTTTGCAGAAACTTCATTTATTTTGTAATTTTGAAAGACTGTTTTTCACGTAAATCTAATTCTCATGTATACATGTATTTGTAAAACAAAGATAATTTAGAACCATAACCAGAGTTTGTGAAAATTATGTCTAGCTGGTAAATGCCAAATGGCGATGTCGTGAAATGAAAGTGTCACAAAAATTCAGTGATCTACAGTACTGTTACAATTTTTTTTTAAAAAGTTTGCAAAGAGAGTACATGTGTATAAAATAAAATTATAGAGTTTCAAGTTATGTGACTCCAGAATTTTTGGGGAAGTTGGAAACATACCAAAGGAGACTGATTTTAGTATATGTATGAATCTAAGTAACGCATTTATTATCATTGATAATTACAGAGATATAGAAGTAGGAGTAGAAGTGAGACACCACCTCACTGGAGGCAAGCCGTGGAAACCCGACTACGATCTAACCAGCAACAACAACAGCAGCAGCAGCCTTACCCAGGGGAGGATCAAGGAGAGAGAAGAGAGGTGGGCGATGGGGGACAGAATGACTGACCGGAGGGACAGGCAACCAATGAGGGAGAGGCACATACAAGAGAACAATCAAGAGGCCAGGAGGAGGAGGTTAAACATTTATCTACAATGGTTAAAAGGTTTTAAGGCTTGGTTAAATGAGGATTCGGATTTTAGAAATTTCGGAAGCATTTTATTTTGGAACTTCTCAAGAAAGAAGTTGTCATATTTGTTAAAAACTATATGTAGTTCAAGATGGTATGTAAAGGTTAGATGGGACATGATGATGTGTTTCAAAAATTTTTATATTTTTTTTCATGTGCCTAAAATTAAGAATTGATAATCATACATGTATAAAAACAAACGTTAAATAAGAAATAAGTTTGCATTTGATAATGAAGAATTTTTTCCCTCTTTATCAAAATAAATAAAGAAATTCTGTAAAATAATATCACAATAAAGTACATTGTTATATATACATTACATTATCAGGGAAGACAAACCAGAGAGGATGGAAGATGACAAGAAGTCTAGACAGGACAGGTCTGATAGGAGGAGGGAAAGAAAGGAATCAGTCAGAGAGGACCGGTCCCCTGATAGACACCGAGACAGGGAGGGGGATAGAGGGACAAATAGAAGACAGGAGAGGGACACAGATAGAGAGAAAGGCAGAGGGATGAATAGAAGACCAGACAGTGATAGAGAGAAAGACAGAGGGACAAATAGGAGGCCAGACAGGGAGGGTAACAGGAGGAAAGACAGTGTGGAGGAAAGGAGGAAGAAAGAGAGAAGCCCCTCCTCTGAGGGGGAAGTGTCTGATTCTGATTCCTCCCCTCCCAGACAGAGGGAAAAGGAGAAGTCGGGCTACAAAAACAGGAACAGGTACGAAATTTATTGTTATGTTAATATTATGGACTTTTATAATACCTTCTAAGTGACCTAGATGAAATGTCATCTGTATGACCTAGATGACCTGTTACCTTAGTGAACCAGATGACCTGTCACTTGTATGAACTAGATGACATGTTACTTGTATGAACTAGATGACCTGTTACCTTAGTGACCTAGATGATCTGTCACTTGTATGAACTAGATGACCTGTCTCCTGAGTGACCGAAATGATCTGTCACCTGTTTGACCTAGATGATTTGTCCCCTAGATGACCTTGATAATAGGGGGATTCCATTACCTACATTTTTTTTGGGGGGGGGGGTTGGGTTGGGTTAATTTTTTATTTAACACAGGAGAAATTTAATTTACCTTTCATAAGTTGAATTGAATTGGATGTTGTAGATCTCCAGATGATTTCAGAGAGAGAAGGAGGGACTCCGAGCGAGATGGCAGGCGAGTCGAGGCAAGGCCAGGTCCTCAGAGGTCAGCTGCTCACGACAGACGAAGGAGGTCAAGGTAAAAATAATTACATATAATTTTAAATGACACAACAGGCGACAGAGATTGAGGAAAAAATAATACAGTTAAAACACAGATAACATATAGAGTCACCTATATGTAAAATATTACTTGGGGAAAACATTATTTAGTTCTTGCCATGTCAGATTGGTTGAAGATAAATTACTATTAGATTTAGAAAACATTAACTTGTTACAGCTCGGGAGATTCAGATAAAAGATCACGGTCAAAAGAGAGGACACGTAGAAGGTCAAGGTCAGATTCTAGGAGCAAAGCCAGAACAAGATATAGCTCAAGTAGAAGTAATTCAAGTTCAAGGTCACCAAGTCTAGAGAGAAGGCCTCCACCTGGAAGGTAGGCTTGTCAAGTTTTGTTACTTTTTATCTTAATTTTCACAATACCGTATATATACAGGTGACTCTCGATGGCTCAAACTCCAGTCTCTCGAAGTGAACCTCCGGTCCCGTTTTTCCCTCTGTATAACTAAGCAAATTTACTCTTGATCTCTCGAACTTCTATCTCCCAAAACCTGGGTCCCATTACACATATTTCATTGAATTTTACTCTGTATCTCTCAAAGTATTGATTGCGTGTGTATCCAAGCTGATCAAGTGTAAAATTGAGTCTGGACTTACCTGGAAAAACAGTGAATGCCTGGGGCTGGCATGGAGGTGTTAATTGGGTGTTTACATAGATGAAACTACACCTATGGGTCGTCCGTGTGTTGATATAATTAATTGGTTATTATTGGTAAATTATAAACGAATTCACAACTTATTTTGACTTGAAACCGAGACGATAATTTTTAGAAAATAAATTTATAGACGTTCGTTTCAATAAGTTCCCATAGACTATGAACTTTTATTAGAGTCTACATAATCCCAGTATGGCAAATATTGCACAAGAAATTCCTTTCTCAAGGACTGAAGACCGATTAAGAAAAATATGCTCCGGACAAGAGATCTCGGATGGACAGGAAAAATCCCTTGAACTTCATGAGATCGAGAGTCACCTGTGTATACATCTAAATGTATACTCTTAATTGAATTTCAAAATTACTCTTGTTTTTTGGACTTGAATGTCATAAATACCAATATAAAAAATAATACTTACTTAAAAAGCTTTTAGTCAAGTGTTGTATGGTTTTACTTTACACTTCATTTCTAGATTTATAAAGAAGAAATCTGAGAGTCCTCCTCCAACACACTGGAAACCTGGCCAGAAGTCACTGAGTTCAGACTCACGCAATAGGTTAGTAACACTCGCCATAAGTTAAAACTCACACAGCAAATGAGTGTGTCATACCTTGAGTTCAGACTCAAGCAACTGGTTAATAGCTCTCAAGTTAAATATTGTGCAACAAGTCATTGACTTCCAATGGGTAAGTAGCTCTGAACAACAAAGGAATTTTTCATACATTGAAAATTTTATGTGATTTTTTTTTTCAATGAATAGATAAAGATATATACATTTACATAAAGTACATAGATTGACAAGGATAGTTTGAAGCTGAAGTCAGTGGTCCTTTATATAGTGACCTGTACATGAAATGAAATCTTGTTTGCTTATTAGGGATCAGTCAAATTCATCAAGAGTTAATGGTGGACTGAACAGCTCTAAGTATAGTCCACCTAGACGAGAAAACCTGGAAGGGCGAAGAGAGATCCGGGAAAATGATTTTAAAAATGACAGCAGAAGATCTCCAGACAACCGAGGATCTGATCATCCAAACAGACCCACGGAAGTTTTGCAGCAAAGTAGAATACAGTACGACTTGGAGAAGAAGGAGGTACCCATCAAGGCCCACCCAGTCAAGTCATTAAATGATTCCAAACAGAGGCGGTCAAGGTCATCATCGTCTAGCAGATCTAGGTCAAGGTCAGACGATTCACGAAGTTCTTCATCGAGTTCAGGTGAATCTGATGATGATGGTAATGCTGAAGAACGAAAGAAAGAAAAGAAAGTTGAGGTAGTTAACTAATGCAGTGACTAAGTAGGGATAATATAGGGCTTTGAACTTTTGAAGGTTTTCAGTAAAGTAGATTAGAAAAGTGATTTGCATGCTTTGTGACACTCAGTTCATTCTTAATCTGTTATTTACATCAGATAATGATAAAACTTGGACATGTTAGTAGAAAGAAAAATAATAGCACATAATTAATGCATGTAATATTTTGACTTTACTAAATGTAGACCTAAAGTCAACTCTAAAAACTGAAGTACATCATTTGAGAGCAGATTTTTGATAGTTGTGAACATAATGATTTCATTAACATGATGATTTCCTTACACAGGAAAGGTTTAAGTGGCAGCCACCCCCAGAACCTGAAGAAGAGTTTAAGCCCAGACAAAGGGTATTACACTTCTAAGTAATTTGAATGCAAAAATTTACATATATTTCATGTCTGATAAAAAAAAATGTGTTCTACAATAATAATATATTTTAGGTTTGCAAGCTAGGTTAATATTTTCGCTGTTTGTTGGTAGGCTTCTCATGCAGAAACAAAAGAAGAGAGTGTGAGGACATCATTAAGGATCAAAACTCCACCTCTGCCTCCACTGGGACAGGTAGCAGAGGCCACGTCAGAACTAGCCAGGTACTCCACATAAATCACTCATACAAAAGGTTTCCTAATCTAATGTTAAACTAACGAAGATTGAGACCAATGTTTGTTTACTTTACAGAAGAAGCAACAGATGGGACATGCAGACAACTGACAGAAAAAGAAACTTGAGTGAGAATAAGTCCAGTCCTCCCCCAGTGGATAAAAAGCTGCCTAGTCCACGTAAATCTAGACGTTCTTCTTCAAGGTCGTCTTCATCAAGCTCCGGTAGATCCAGCTCACGTTCTCCATCACCTACCAGCAAGTTCTTGTATGGTGAGAGTGAGAGTAAGATCAGCCAACCTCAGAAATCATCAACCAATCAGCAATCAGCTGGATTCAGTAAGGTTTTAACCAGTATGTTGGATATTCCTATCCCAGCAGTGCCTGAAAAACTGCCAGAAAAACCAAAGGAGGCCAAGTCTACTCTTGATGAAAGAATCAAAGATTTTAAGTGAGTGATAAATAAAGTAAAATAAAATGAGCAGTTAATAAGTTGTTATGTGTAGAGTATAAATCTTTTAATGTGAGTTCTTCATACTAAATTTTAGTTCAATTTTTATTTCAACTCGTTGTTTGCTGCACACTAGTTGTTTATGATCATAACCAAAATATTTTGTCACATAGATAAGACAAATGGAAAGAAAGATAGCAGTAGGTGCACAAATCATGATATATTGAGCTTTGCTTAGTATTGACTATTGACTCAGCCAAAATTGGTACATTATCTCTGTTAACGATATGAAAGTAACATCTAGACACCACGACCCTTAGATGTGGCTTTCATTTTACTTTTTGTAATTTTCTTTCCAGTGTCAATGTGTCTAAATCAAAGGTGGAAATAGCCACACGAAGGACAAGATCAAAAAGCTCCAAATCCTCCTCATCTGACAGATCTAGCAGGTCAAGGTCACCCAAATCCTCCAAGACCAAACAGAGGTCACTTGAAAGGTACAAGTCTATATTTCTTATGTGTGTGGTTCAAAATCTGTTTCGTACACCTTTCCTATGTTATTTATTCTATTGATTTAATTGATTTTTTTTTCTACAGGAAGGAATCATCAAAATCTCCCTTAAGATCTAATAGGAATTCTCTAAGGTCACCAGGGTTGGGAAAAAGAAGGTCTGGTAGTCCTCAACCAAGAAGATCATCAGCAAATCGGTCCAGAAGTCCAAAAAAACCAACAATCAGGAGATCAATCTCACCAAGGAGAAGGTCAGGTTCACCTAGAAGGTCAAGGTCATCTAGAGGAAGATCAATTTCACCGAGAAGAGGAAGGTCACCTAAAAGGTCAACATCAAGAAGGTCACCTAGAAGGTCAACATCAAGAAGACGATCCATTTCACCCAGACGATCCAGATCCCCACGAAGGTCATCTTTCAGACGATCAATTTCTCCGCGTAGACGAGCCCCTCCCTATCGATACAGGTCTCCAATAAGGAGAAGGCCGTCTCCTCGACGTAGAAGTAGGTCAAGGAGTCGATCCAGAAGGCGCTCTCCAATCAGGTCCAGGCAGAGGTACATTCATTCTAAAGCTTTATCTCATTGTTTTGCCATGTAGAAATCAGATGATCACCATTTTTACAGATTATAAAAATCTTGTTATCAAACTGCAAGCAGAAAAAGAATCAAATATACATACATTTCATCTGCCTCCAAAAGATTTGTTTTCTTTATGCAAAAAAATGTCTATTATTGTCTTCCTGCATGCATATCTTATTTAAGACTGTCAGTTGGGGTTATTCTAGGGCATGGTGTATCATAGTTTTGGTTATGATGTTTTCTGATCACATCAAACATCATGAAAAATCTTATCCAATCTAGACTCTTCATGAATCTTGCTGATAGTGAAAATTTTTTACATTTATATCCTTGTTAGGTCTAGAAGTCGCAGTCGAAGAAGAGGGAGGAGTTCTAGTTCTAGAAGCAGAAGTAGAAGTAGGAGGCGCAGCAGAAGTGGAAGCAGAGGCAGAAAGCGCAGCAGAAGTGGAAGTAGGAGGCGCAGTAGGAGTGGAAGCAGAGGCAGAAAGCGCAGCAGAAGTGGAAGCAGAGGCAGAAAGCGAAGCAGAAGTGGGAGTAGAGGACGGAGCAGAAGTGGAAGCAGAGGCAGGAAGCGCAGCAGAAGTCGAAGTAGGCAGCGTAGCAGAAGTAGAGGACGTAGTGAGAGTCCTAGAGGCAGACGAAGAAGTCGGAGTGGAAGTAGAAGCAGACGACGAAGTAGGAGTAGGTCATGAATCAGCTGGAGACCTCAATTACAATCTATCTGCTATGTGGATAGCATTTGAAACTAGTATTCTTCAAGAAGGTTGACCACTGGCTGATTTAAAATACCAGTTATATAAATTTTATAGAATGTGGCACATGGGCCATTATGGTAGAATTCTCTGCCAATTCTAATCTTTTATTTAGGATTTCATTAATTTTGAGTGCTGATGATCCATTCATTTTACAAAATAGACATAAATTGTACATAATTTACATAGGCAAACCTTTGCCTTTAGTGCATACCATTGTCATTTGGTAGAATCATGGTCCTTGTTTTATTCTGTACCTACATTTGTCATTGTGTGAGTGTTCAGGAGTTTAGGTCTTGTTTATTCTTGTATTGTTAGGAACTACTGGTTGTAAACCCAGTGACAATAACATCCTAGTTTGGTACATTTTATTTGTGTATTCCCCTCTGTTTTGTTCAGTCACAAACATTCTGTGTCCAAAGACTTTTAAAGTTTCTTGTACAGAAAAACGTGTAAAATATTTTTCAATTCAAGAATAATTGATTTACACTTAAAATGATGTCACATTTTCTTCACTTGTCATTGCATAGTCTTTGTGTTCATTAATTAGTTTTAGTAATTCATTATGTGAAATTATATAAATTCAAATCAATCAGTCAATTTGTCATAAGTAATTTTAATATGTATAGGGAAATTTTGATCTCCAATAGGTATCTCAAAAAGATTCCATGCACTTATCTGCATCGATGTTTAACTGTAAACATGTGAAAAATGGAAAGACATTTTTGGTTACTCAAAAGAAAAGTATGCAAACTTTGGTTTTAAATTAGTTTTACAGTGATAAAGAAATTTTTCAAACATTGAAAGGTTGGGATATTGATACCAAATATTTCCTTTACTAAAGAAATATTGAACAATGGACAGATATACATTTTATACTTTTCAGCTTTTAAGTTTTTAGAAATTTCTCTGAGACCCATGGCACAATTTGTACACAGATATGAATGTTTTTCAATAAATTCACTTATTTCCAAGATATATGAATATTTTTTTTATCATTTTAATTATGCATATAGACTGACATAGTAAAACACAAAATAATAAGGAATCATTTTAATCTATGGGGGTTTTGGGGTTCATGTTCAAGGGCCAGTAAAAATATGTGGTTCTTGGGGATGTACTTTTCCTGGGTAACTCATATATACAGAAGATTAAATGAATAAATGTGCTGACAGAATTGTTCATGGGGTTGTCAATTCATGGATAAGAGTGACTCACAAAATTCATGAACATTGGTCCTTCCACACACGACAATTCTACAATTTGACCCCCTAGTATGCTTCTAGGTTATGGATCCATATCATATTTAAGGAATGGAAATGTACTTGGACCTTAATCTACTTAAAGTCAAGGTATTTTGATTTTTGCATCATAATAGTTTTAGCTCACCTGAGATGAAGGCCTGTCATCAGAAACTTTTCACAATTTTGTCTTCTTCTCCATACCTCTAGGGCCAATTTCATGCAAACTTGACATGGAGCAACCTTGGGTGAAGGAAATTCAAGTTTCATCAATGGAAGGGCAACACCCTCCTACAAGGGGAGATCAGAATGGAAAAAATGAATGGCATTTTTCGAAAATCCCTTCTTTAGAACCAATGGGGCAGAAAATGAAATAAATATATATAAAGAAAGCTTTATTATTGTAAATTCAGATTTGTTCAAATCACCCCTTCCGCTGGAGATAGTGTGGTGCCACATTGGAGTGTATCTAGGATTTCTTTAAAAATCTCAAGAACAACAAGGCCATGACTAGTCATTTCTGTGAAAGCATTAATTCTCAGGCAATATAGATTCAAGTTTATTCAATTCATGACCCCTGGAGGTAGGGTTGGGCCACATTTGGCAATCAAAGTAAATTGACTCAGGAAAACTATAGGGGAATTAAATCTTAATTTAAATATCTTATTTAAAGGGGAAAAATTGACTTCTTGGGAACATTGGGACCATGGTCTTTATGGTGTTTGGACTGGGAAATGCCTTAAAATTAGGAATGGGCCTAAATTGTTCAAATCATGACCCTTAGGGATAGAGTGGGGCCACAATAGGGAATCCCAGGTTTTACAATGAAATATGTAGGAAAAAACTTTTCAAGAACCATTGCGAAAGAAAAGCTGAAACTGAAGTATAGGAACATCCTGTGGTCCAAGTGTAGATTCTAATATGTTCATATCCTGATCCCTGCGGGTAGGGCAGGCCAGAGTCACAATAAGTATTACAAGGGGGAAAGAAAAGCATGGCCAAAGTTATTCGGGTGAGCGATGTGGCCCATGGGCCTCTTGTAAGTATAAATATTTTAAGTTTTTTTATCTTTCAAATAAGTCATAAGAAATGCATTTGTCATATTGCTAACATTGCTTTCAAATGATTTTCATCGATATAAGCTTTTGTATAAATTAGGGGTATATAATATTACATTTGACAAAAGAATTGCTTCGATTTCTTGGATTTTTAGCTCACCTGAGCTGAAGGCTCAAGTGCGCTTTTCTGATCAAAATTTGTCCGTTGTCTGTCGTCGTAAACTTTTCACATTTTCATCTTCTCAAGAACCACTGGGCCAATTTCAACCAAACTACAAAGTATCCTTGGGTAAAGGGGATTCAAGTTTGTTCAAATGAAGGGCCACGCCCTCTTCCAAGGGGAGATAATTATGAATTACAGAAAAATTAATGGCATTTTTAGCTCACCTGAGCTGAAAGCTCAAGTGAGCTTTTCTGATCACCCATTATCCGTTGTCCGTCTGTAAACTTTTCACATTTTCAACTTAATCTTCTCAAGAACCACTGAACCAATTTTAACCAAACTCGGTACAAAGCATCCTTATGTAAAGGGGAATTTGAATTATAAAAATCAAGGGCCTAGTCCCCTCCAAGGGGAGATAATCAAGAAAATACAAAAATAGGGTGGCGCGGGTCATTAAAAAATCTTCTTCTCAAGAACCACTGGGCCAGAAAAGCTGAAACTTATTTGGTAGCATCCTGGGGTAGTGTAGATTCTAAATTGTTTAAACCATGACCCCCGGGGGTAGGGCGGGGCCACAATAGGGAATCCAAGTTTTACATAGAAATATATAGGAAAAAACTTTAAAAATCTTCATCTCAAGAACCACTGGGCCTGAAAATCTGAAACTAATGTGGAAGCATCCTGGGGTAGTGTAGATTCTAAATTGTTCAAATCATGACCCCCGGGGGTAGGGCGGGGCCACAATAGGGAAATTAACTTTTACATAGAAATATGTAGGAAAAAACTTTAAAAATCTTTTTCTCAAGAACCACTTGGCCTGAAAATCTGAAACTTATGTGGAAGCATCCTGGGGTAGTGTAGATTCTAAATTGTTCAAATCATGACCCCCGGGGGTAGGGCGGGGCCACAATAGGGAAATTAACTTTTACATAGAAATATGTAGGAAAAAACTTTAAAAATCTTTTTCTCAAGAACCACTTGGCCTGAAAATCTGAAACTTATGTGGAAGCATCCTGGGGTAGTGTAGATTCTAAATTGTTCAAATCAACCGGGGGTAGGGCGGGGCCACAATAGGGAAATTAAGTTTTACGTAGAAATATGTAGGAAAAAACTTTAAAAATCTTCTTCTCAAGAACCACAGGGCTAGAAAATCTGAAACTTATGTGGAAGCATGAAGCATCCTGGGGTAGTGTAGATTCTAAATTGTTCAAATCATGACCCCCAGGGGTAGGGTGTGGTCACAATTGGTATTACAAAGAGGGGAAATCTGTTAAAGAACAGCATGTCCAAAGTTTTTCAGGTGAGCAATGTGGCCCTTGGGCCTCTTGTTTTTATTTGCATCGGGTTCGGCATTTTAAAAATACAGTGACCTATGTCCGAAGGTTTTCTTTTCCGTTTCACGTGTGTAAACATTCGTTTCGTTATGTTTAGTAACAGGATGGGCACTTAGCACCCCCAGAGGAACACATGCAGCGGAGAGATGGCAGGGGGGACTTTTGAGGACATCACGGCCGTGCAGCAGATGATTTCATCTTGCACGGGCGCCATCCTCACCTCTCTTCTTGGTAAGATTTTCAGATTGCGTAAGCCACTGCATATCAGCTTGAACATGTTGAAATGGACATCATTTTATCACCTTATAACGATTTTTAAAAATATATTTTCAAAATTGTTTTATCATGTCCGTTTATAAGAAGGCATTATAAGAAATTTCTCATACATTAATTTGCAAAAAAAAAAAGAAAATGATTTGGGTCAAAGCAGTATACTTTATGCACGCTTGTATAACTGGGACCTGTATAACTAAGTCTTAAAGATAAATTGCTAAATGTTCCACCTTTAACGTTGCATTCTGGAGATCAATGTTCAGCCTAAAATAAAAACACTTACAGTACATGTAGTTAATGAATGGAGAGAAAAAAGGCCTGGATAACAATGCCTTTTCCCCTTAAAAATTAAACCATCCAAAAATGAATGCTGAAATCAATAAGGTTCAATTTATTATTGATATAGATCTCTAAAATTAATATCAGTTGTGCTTAGTAAATTAGTAGTACACTTTTATTTACAAGTGTTTGAATTTGTTGAGTAATTTTGCAGTGACGCCTTTTGATGTTGTGAAAATCCGGCTTCAATCCCAGAAAGTGCCGCTGGTGAAAGGGAAATGCTTTTTATACTGCAATGGATTAATGGATCATCTGTGTACATGTCTTAACGGGGGCAACAATGGTTATTGGTATAAACGAAAAGTGCCTGGTCCCTACAAAGGCACAGTGGTAGGTCCTACTTAGTGTAATATAAAGTACTTCTTGCAGAACTCAGATCAGTGCACTAAAAGTAATACCCCCCTGGTATATAAAAACTCAGGTAAATTTCACATAATAAGGATTTATTAAGAGAATCTTTTTCCAAGGATCATTTTAGACTAGAAATTATAATGACACAGTTTGACCATCCTGGCAATGTAAGATCCTTCAGTGGTGATAGTGCCACATCATTGATACTTGTATACTGTAGATCACTAAATTTTCGCGACACCTTATTTTCGCGAGATAGTCATTGACTCTTGATTAGCGAGACAAAATTTTCGCAAATTGTGGTTATTGCTCTATATAATCTTAAGGAATACTATTATATGGGAGAATAAAATTTTCGCGAGCACACTGTTTCACGTAATTACGCGAAAATAAAGTTCTCGCGAATAAAAAGTGATTTACAGTAGTATAGACGTTTGGGCTTTAAATGCCATGAAGGTCTGGATAGCTCAGTGGTAAGAGCACCTGACTAGTAATACAGGGGTCTCAGGTTTGATCCTGATCCACCCATATGTTTCTTCATGCATTTCTCCTTTCTTACAATAGTCATGCAACTGATTCTTCCTGCCCCCAATATTTTTTAGAAAATAATGTAAATGCATGCAGCAGGACATCTAGAATGAACATAATGATTGAAACACATTGGTAAGAATGTGTTTTAAAAGGAAAAGCAATTGCAAATTTACATGTATAAAGGTATATTGATATATTTCAGTATATTGTTGATATTTTAGGATGCGATGATGCAGATTACCAGACACGAGGGATTGAGATCACTGTGGAGTGGACTGCCTCCCACATTGTGAGTTTTAACATTTAAAGACTTGAAATTACTTTGTGTATCAGAAATGTAGCCAAGAAATTCAGATGGATAGATAGAAAAACATGCTAGATTTTTGTTATATTTTTAAGTACTGTAGATCACTAAATTTTCGCGACACCTTATTTTTGCGAGATAGTCTTTGACTTTTGATTAGCGAGACAAAATTTTCGCGAATTGTGGTTATTGCTCTATATAATCTTAAAGAATACTATTATACGCGAGAATTAAATTTTCGCGAGCACACTGTCTTGCGTAATTACTCGAAAATAAAGTTCTCGCGAATAAAAAGTGATGTACAGTAATCTTCAAAGCTCAGTGCACTCAGTTATTTCTCAGATAAAAATGTGACTAATATTTTGCCATTTTTACTTCCAGAGTTATGGCTGTACCTGCCACAGTGGTTTATTTCTCCTGTTACGAACATTTTAGGAATTTATTTGGTTACTCGGCAGGTCTAACAGAAAATGACTGGTGGAAACCCATAATGGCTGGAGCTAGTGCTCGAAGTGAGTTCCTTATATCTCCTTACCCAGGATTTAATCTAGCCTGCAGGTCTGGAAGATGGACCCACTATTAGCTGAAAATTTACAATCCCCCAAAATATTTTTAAAAAAGACTGTTGAAGTACTTTTTTCCGCATTGTACCTGTATTAATCTACGCTATGTACGCGGTCACATTTTCCGCAGATATTTGTCCCATCATACTTAAAATGCATATAAGGCTTTTAGTGAGAGTCTAAATTTTAATTTTCTAAATCTGTGTAATTTTCTACCTGCGAAACAGAAATAGTGAATTCGCAGAATTATGACCCCATGGAAAGAAGTACCGTACATTTACAGTATTACAATATTAAAACACGAAAATACCTTATTTTTTACTATATACTTTGCAGCAATCTATAACGTTATGTTATAAAAAAAAATTCCACATCTCCCATGCATGTAATCATCAAGCACTAGTCAAGGAGAATTTTGATAACAGAAAATGGCATGTCAAATTAGAGAGAAATTAATGAGTTTAGTGTGAGGAGCTAACTTGAATAGCATTGCTGATCAAGCAGATTTTATCTTTTATAATATCTCTTTGGAATTGGGCAAAGGAATCAACATCTTATTACTTGTGTTGGATGAATTGTTTTTGTTGGCTAGCCTAACTATCAAAATAAATATTGTGTAAAGTAATTAAAACTAATTTGATATTTTACAAAATAATTCCAATTAATTAACTGGATGGAAGGGGGTGTATTGGAATCGGCATGTCCATCTGGTTCTATGAATTGCAGCTTAAGCAGGCCTACTCCCAGATCAGTATTTAACTCAATATGTGAATATTTTTGACTTTGAGATAATAAGCAATTTTATAAATGCTAAACTTTGTTTAGTATTATAAATTTATCACCCTAGTTCCCTTGGGAGGGAGATCAACAATATTTATTCAGAATACTGATTAATAGATTGGGCAACAGGCAAACTGTCTATAAATACCCTCTCTATACAAGTCAAGGTAACAAATACAATGAACTGAGTTAATGTTTATAATACAATACAGGTAAAGACACACTCTCACACACATCCTTACACACACCCTCCCTCACTCAAACACAACCTGACTTGCACAGATCCAAATCAAAAATAACATATAAACAAATAATTATACATGTATAAAGAACATTCAGCATAAAAAATATGTATCCAGGTAAAATGTATTAAAAAAAACGTTTTGTTAACCTGACAATTTTCATGTACATAATTTGTAATGTTTGTAAGTTTGTTTGATAGTAAAACTCCAGACTCCCAGATCCCATGTAAAAATACCTTAAACTCAAAAGGTAAACCAAGTGCACTCTTTGTACTATTCATAAAAAAGTATTAATTATCATCATAATGGTTATCACACATAGGACAAGATGCATCAGCTATTATGTAATGATTTTTTAAGTGTGTTAAGGTTAATTACTAGCTTTATAATGTAGTTGACAATGAAGTGTATTCTCTTTTCTGTTACCATAGTTGAAATATTTACTGCTAAGTGGTCGTTCAAATTGTTTTTATTTTCAAAAAGAACAAAACTATCATAGTATTTCTAAAATACAGTTCTACATAATGGTAGTGAAATATTACTTTGATCTGATCTCAGATTGTAAGAGTGCTACACTGGTTAGAGAAGCTGTAATAATTTGCGAAGATAATCTGGGGCAATACCATGGAAAATTTTATGAAATAATATCAGTTTATGATTTTTTTTCTCTGATATAATGGCTCCCAACCGAGTTCTTCGTATAAAAAATATCTTGAGGAATTTACTCTTAGACCATTAATAATTCTTGCAGCTTTTACTTGGACCTTTTCTAACAATTCTGCTTAGTGTATTCTAAAACACCGGCATTGATAAAAACTCAGAGTATTTGATAGGGAGAAAGGGGACACTATACTGTGAGTACATTAACACAGTTATAATTTTTTGCAGCATTAGCAGTGTTTGCTATCAGCCCTCTGGAGATGGTCAGGACTAAGATGCAGTCTGAGCAGCTGAATTATAGTCAGGTTCTGACAGCAGTACAGCATACCGTGAGGGAGGGGGGCGTGGTCAAGTCCATGTACCGGGGTCTCACTCCCACACTCCTCAGGGATGTACCATTCTCAGGTAAAAAAAAGTCAACATTTTTAAAGATAAATTCCCTGTAGATTGCAATATTTAATTTTTAAAAAATTGTGGAAAAATAATAACAATAAATATTTTCTTTTTGAAAATAGAAATATTTTTTGTCTTTTAAAGAGGTCAAGTAGACTTCTAACATACAATACACGGTTTTTACGATCTTTGCAATTATGAGATTCGAAATGCTAATTAAACTGCCTATTTCAGCTTTTTACTGGTTTGGATATGAGGGGATGAAGTCAGTCATTTTACAGAAGTCCCTATCACATAAGATGACCACTGTGGAGAGTTTCTGTTGTGGAGCTGTCTCAGGAGGGGTAGGTGGAAAAACACAAAATACTGTTAATGTGTTATATTTAGCATGTATGTTATTTGATGGATAATGTTTTTTAGCAAGTAAGCCTAGGTATTATTTAGCGCATTTCTTTATGTGTCAATTTTGTGTATATGTGCAAGACATTTAGCAATGTACTTAAATTAGCAGAAGTTATCTCCACCAAAAAGAATACACAGTCAAATGTATTATGTTTACAGTGATATACATGCTGACATGTTTTTGTTGACTATTTTATGAACAAATGTCTTAAAGTACATAATCTTTTTTTCTATTGTTTTGATTTTTAAAATTTCATTAATCTTTTCTTACAGATTGCTGCAATTTTAACTTTGCCTTTCGATGTAATCAAAACCCATCGTCAGATTACTATTGGCGAAAGACGAATTAGAGGTAATGAACATGTCTGGAGTCAGTTTAATTAAGCCTCTTATTGCCTGAAAATTCTCAGTGATTGACTTATTACAAAATTTTATTTTTTTAAAATCCTGTCAAAGCAATATGTTAAATGACAGCTATACAACCTACAGTTGAACTACTTCAATATCTCAGATACTGATATCTTGAATATCATGGATATGTCAAAGTCATATGGAAGTCCCAACCACTTATTCTTTAAATATTTAACCCTTGATATCTAAGATACTTCGATACCTCTCAGTTTTTCATCAAATTTGAGAAAATGAGGTTTGACTGTATGACTACTGTTTTGTGTATTTTTGCATTGCCAAATTAAAAGAAAAGAAATATCTATAAAACAATCCAAAATTTAATAACTAACAGGTTATTTCTGTGTTAAGATAAAATAGTTCAGTTAATACAAAATAATTTTTTTTTCTCATCTGTAATAAATTTTAAGAATGCTTACAATAATGGTTTTGTGAAAGGAAAAAATTATTTTTTTGTCTTATTGCTTACAACAAGCCATTAACAAATG